TCATAAACCGGACCGTAAGTTGGAAACTGTGTAAGAGTCTGCAATTTGTCTTTACTTACGAAAGTCAAAACTAAATAGGCCATTTTGTAGAGAATTAAATTCTGCATCGAATGGTATGTCTCTCAATATTTTTTCAAAAATTTTTTTCGTTAAAAAATTCAAAATATGATTTTTCACAAGTTTAAAACCCGGTTTTTTTGATTCTAAAACCTAACTTTTTTACAAAATAAATGTCAAATTCGTAATCAGCGTTAAAAGTTGCATCTAGTAACGCATTCAGACTTGTCCAACTCGAAAAAAAATTTTTTCGAAACTTGATCAGCGAAGTGTCGCGTTACGTGGACAAGCCGATTTACCCTGCTTGAAATTATAGCAATACTCCCCTGACAAAATATTATTTCCAACCTAGTACAATATCACAAACATCTCATAGTGCCGTGATCAACCAATATTGATTTAGCTTTGCTTCACCTGAGTATTGACTTTGCTTTTTTACGAGTAGAGAAAAAACTCATTACACATAGCCAACAAAGTACAGCCTTCGTCACTTGCTTATGAAACTTTTTCTGCGCAAATAAGAGAACAACTCAAGTGTGCTTTGTACAGACACATTGTTTTTTCGCGGAAAAAAATGAAGAGAAAAGAGAGAGAGAGCCTACCAACTATCGTTTGAGGCTGATGGTGAGAGTGGATGAAAAATAGACATTCGCCTACTCTCACACTTATCCACCCTCAAGATCCCCATATTCGACACGAACCTTAGAGAAAATTAATGAAAACTGAATATCCTATCTAGGTGACTGAAAGTTCTAGATGAATGTGTGACTACAAAATTAATCTCTAATCGTATTTTTTCCTCTACATAGTCAACAGACGATCCGATTTCGAAGTAATTAAATATCCTATTTTATTTTACCGTTTCATAAGGTTTATTTTCAATATGTATTTTAGTTCTTTCAAAGTTACTCTGGAATCCACTAGTTATAATTATATGTAAAAATAATATTAACAAAGAACAATGACTAAACTTGGAAAATTAAAACTATTAGAGAAAACATAATTTTTAGAAAATATTCAATATCTAACAGATGTAATCAATTTGAATGATGACATTTTAGCAGAATAACATCAGCATCTCTTTTTCCACATTGAAGTTACTCGTCCGAAGAAACGCGGTGTTTGAGAATTGTCTTTTTGTTTCTATAGTCACCCAAATGAAAAATCTAGACGCATTTCAACACACTGGAAGACGCATTTTTTTCTCTTTGTCTGAGAAGCACATGAGAGACGAAAACGAAAAAGAGCAATTTTTAATATGAGTATTTTTGACTTCAGAAAAAAGAACAAAGCTTGAGGCATTCTTGTGCCACGCACTGTTGACATCATTCGATTTTTAATTAACAAAATTAACGATCATGAGTCGTAATAATCGTAAAACAAATGATCCAAAAGACAATGTATCATCGAGAAGCAGCAAACAAAAGAATTCTAGAAGACCAAAGGATGATCAAAATGTGTACGATGAAGAGTTTCCACCATTGAATGCGTCTGGTACCACTTCAATAAATGTTTCTCGAGTAAATATTTATTACTTATTATCAGATTTTTTTAATCAGTTTGCTTTATAAGAAACAATCGGTCACATCAGATGGAAACAAGAAACAAGAGGCGGCAATGGCTCTTCCTTGTAGGTTACAAATATATCTGTTCACATTTAAATCGAGTGTTTACCTGTCTTTTTAAGCTGAAAATCCAATACAACCATCGACTGAAAAGAAGCCTAGTTACTGGAAATCTACTTTAGAACAACCGCCCACTTTAAGTTTAGCGACCTTCGTTCGAGGATCAACATCACAATCAATGGTTTCTAGAACTGCTAATAAATTTTATTCAACTAATCGTTCCGTCGCATGTAAGCTACATTCTTCTGAGTCTTTCAAATACCCGTTTATTTTAACAGAAATATATTTAGCATTCTTACAATTCTTCCAAGGTGTATCTCACAGATTTTAAACACAAATATTTTCAAATTCTAAAATATTTTTCACCTGAATGTCGAACGTTGTTTTAGAAGGATATCATCTATGAAACTCTTATCTATAAAAAATTTCGATCGTTCAGTTACGTTTCGATTCAGCTAAATTCGTGAAATTTTAATGAAACTCTTTGTTTCACAAAACCCTCGACTTCTAATCAATGTATAAAGCACAAAAACGATGAACAACTCAAGATGTAGGATTTTTAACCAATGGTTTTTTTCCACATACCGATTGGACCATCTATCAAACAATACTAGTGCTTTTAGAGGAATTCTGGGTAAAACAGCAGTCACTCCAATCACCCGATCAATGGTACCAACAGTATGTTCGCTTCCTTGCAGCTTTAAAAGGCCGTCTTACTCGATGGAAAGAGAAAGAAAAATATCGCCCCTCTCTCTCATCACCCATAGTGGAACAACTTAGAGTCATCAGGCACATACGAATCGATACTATAGAGATAGAGATAGAAAAAGTACTGGCATTAGAAATGAAGACCTTAGAATATTGCTAAGAACTATGAATAGAGATGTTAGAAACGAGATTTACAAATATAAAACCGCTAGATGGTCCGACTTTCTATCATCCATTCGTGATGAACACGATAATCAGGAATCCATGTTTTGGTCACACCTATCTAAAATGTATAAAGTCAAAACTCTTCCCTTCTCGAAGCTTGCGATAGGCACTGGCATCTTGCACGACGAACAGAAAATCGCCGATGAACTTTATAAATACTATAGCGACCTATCTAAAGCTCCAGAAATCAATCCATATAACCGCCATGACATCCAAATAGAACAAGAAAATAACGAAATCCGGAACTTACTTGCCCTTCCCATCCAAGGAGAACTGGAAACAACCTCTGTATGGGAAATAACAAAACAAATAAAAAAAAATGAAAGGCAAAAAATCATCAGGACTTGACCAGGTATCCAACCAAATCATTAAATTTCTACCTCCTACTTATATCTGTTACCTGGCAAACTGTTTTAATAGTTGGTTAAAAGAATGCAGATACCCATATTTTTGGAAAACTGCAAAGATAATAACACTAAATAAACTAAAGACAGGAGTACCGAGATGTAATCAAACGAGACCAATTTCCCTATTAGCAACATACTCAAAACTGTTCGAAAAAGTCTTACTGGATAGAGTCAGAAGATGGGCTGAAGGAAACCATCTTGTCCCTAGTGAACAATCTGGTTTTAGATCAAACAGTCTTCTCCCAACCAGAGTACTGTCAATATTCCAACAAGTGAAAAATAACTTAGTTGGCAATACCCCCACACTTGCACTGTACGTGGATTATGAGAAAACATTCGATTTAGTCTGGCACACAGAACTACTGGTGAAACTATTCAGGTTAGGTATGCCATTGAGTCTTTTAGAAATAATTAAATGTTGACTAGAAAATCGTACAGCATACGTCTGTTTTGGTCAAAAGAAATCAGGTATTTTCAAAATACAGGTTGGCCTCCCTCAAGGAAGCAGTTTAAGTCCCTACATCTTTATAGTGTATCATAGTGATTTAATAAATTGTTTAGGAGCACATTCAGAGCATCTATTTGCAGATGACTTATACGTCATAATTAGAGCCCCACTCCAAAAATCATTTACATCCCTTATTAAGTTCTTAGAAATCGAAGGTAGTAAAATATGCGATCAAATAGCAAACTACTCTCACCGCTGGAAACAACCTATTAATGTAAGTAAAATAGTAGCACAAATTTTCCATTCCCAAATCAAAATCCCCCCTGTTGATATTTATATGTTAAATCAAAAGATCGAGATAGTTAACTCCTTCAAATACCTCGGATTTACATGGCCTAGTAAACTGTCGATAAAGCCTACGGTAAACAGATGTGTAGAGAACATTAATAAATCACCATGTAGGTTAAAGTGGTTGAAATGTGGCAAATTACTGTCCAAAGTAGTACTAAGAAGGTGTTTCTTCGCTTACACCTTTCCTCATTTTACCTGGCTATTTCCTTTTTACCCCTTCCTTTCCCAAACACAAAAGGAAGCACTAACTCGTAAATTTAGAGTAGCAATGCGTATAATTCATTGTGCACCATTTATTAAAGCAAAAGAACTCTTATCCCTTACTCATGAAGACCCACTTGAAAGTTACGTTAAACGTTACATATCAAATAGATTAAAAAAGATGTACACATCAGATTTAGGCTCCTCGCTATTTTTGGATGACATATTTTTCTGGGATAATTATCATAAAATGACTAATGATAACATGAGCCATTTCTTCACCATGAGACGGGTCAAGAACTTGAAAGCTAGGCACCATTCGTTGCTCCATACCTGGCTGGATTTCATAAATCAGCCCCCGTAATTATCTACCTCCATTCTTAGCATCTTATCACGAATTGTTGCTGTAACTGTTTTATTCACCATCACTTTTCTGTCTCCTGTTCTATACCTTGTTTACCATTTTCTCTCTCCTAGCTTCTTACCTTTCTCTCAAGCGTTCCTTCCTCTTTCATTTTCCTGATTCCTTTGTTGCTTTCCTTCTTTCGTATTCTTTCTTCTCTCTTCTTTTTTGTAAGCGCGTACGAGTGTTACAATAAAACAGAGCTTAAACCAAAAAAAAGCGATGAACTATTTCGTACGTCCTTCAGAGTAATCTAATGAAATAAAAATATTAAAAACGGTCCATTATCGAGTTTATAAGTTACAAATGAGACTTCTTCTCACTATCAGATGTTTGAGAAATAAAAACTTTATTTTCCGATAATATTAAAATAAGCAAGGTCTTCTATTCGAAATATTCTTGCGATAACAAATATCGTTTCTGATCTTCACTGGCTTAGCTTCGATCACAAGAAAGCAGTGTACTTTGCACTTGCTAATTCATTAGGTAGGAACTTACAAAATGTACTAAGCAAGGTTCCATCATAAGATCTACAATGACGATTTTTTTTCCACAAAGGTTACATTAGTAACTCGAATTTTCGAAGTTATTGAATGTTTGTTATTGATATAGATGACAAAAAACACATTGAATAAAATTTCAAATTGAAATGTAATCTTCAATTAACGAACTTTTCTTTCTTGTCTATTGATAGATCATTCAAGGTTTGAACCATATGCTGAAAATCTTTCAATTTCGATTGAAGATATCGAGGCTACATTAGGTAAAATTATCTTAACAATTCATCTACGTCAAGAATATGTGTCGGTTGCACGAGTTGAACAGGATCTTTTAACACATTATGGTGTTCAATCGTTTCGAGAATTAGGCGTCAATCAACGAGATCTCAAGACTTTAACGAATCATATTCACCGCGATAAAGATGTTACTTTTTACATGCAAGTATTCGAACAAATTTTCAATTTATGTACGTTGTACGATCTTGCTCCGTTAATCGCCAAATTTCTCAAAGTGAACAAATATGAAGATGCACATCTTGGACCACTAGATGAACATCCTGCCATAAAACGAGTTTTTAAATATAAACGGATAAAACGTCATGAACCAATTCCTGAAATAACAAGTGGAGAAATCATACATGCATTTGTCGAGTTTCAACAGAGTCATCAACATAGAAAATTTCTCTATGAAGATTTTATTGATGAACTTGTTCAAGAATATCAATTTGAAAAACGTGAACAACTTGGTCTTTTTTGTAGATCTTTTCCATATTTAAGCGAAGTAACAAGAAAATTAACACAAGAATGGAACAGATGTGATAAACAAATTGTATCCGATGCTACTAGACGTATTATTAATGAAGTTGAAAACAAATTACGGGAAATACAACAGGAGGTGTCAAGTGAACTCGAACTTTCGTCATATACAAACAAATCGCCAATGTCTGTTTTTGATCATCTTATTTCAGTTGTTGATAAACATTTGAATATTGCCCACCAGAAAGTTATTCGTGATTTATTGATTAAAATTCGAAAAGATGATTTATTAAGATGTTTATTAAACATTAGTATTTATTTGGGTTCAATGGACAAACCTGAAAAATTCATTGCTGAATTTCAAAAACTCAGTCAAAGTCAAAATCAAAATTCTACGTCATCATCAGAACAATCTTCAAATGCAAAGAAATCTTTGGATAATAATTATCATCAAAGAAATTCACAATATATATCCAATATTCACAATGTAAGTTCAGGTCCCTGCGACAAATAGATCCATCCATAAAATGAAAAAAAAAACTTTTCTATATCAATAAGAGCCATTCGAGGAATTGCTCAACTTTTTATATTGGATCTTCAGTTATCTATATTGGTTAGGATACGAAATCAAAAGTTGAAACTTTTAATGATTTGCTGCCTATGTTGTTTTTAGGTGAAATCAGAAGGAAATGTTTCTTCTACAATAAATGAAACATCATTTACAAATTTGTCTTCATCATCATATGAAACACGATCGCCAGTACCTCTCCAAGATATATGTTCTGATCTGTTTCATATTCTCGTTCGTTTTGATTCGGTTCTGACAATCAGACAACTCTACGATATACAAAATTATTTATGTAAAAAATATTCAATAAAAAATTTCTCCGAATTTTATTTCAATGATAATGATGATGATGATGAGAACAATTATCTTGATCTTATTTCATTTATTCATAAACATCGTGATAAAATTGATCCGCATGGAGATTTATCAATATATGAATATATTTCATCAACTAGTGATCGACAAGAAATCTATACATTTGTTAATCAACTTACAGTGATTAAAAATTGGAGAGAAAAACAAGAACAAAATGAATATTCAACTGATCGTAAAATTATTATGAGTAAAGATCAATCATCTGCTGTTGAAAGATCATTACAATATAAATTTGCTGGACTAATTGGACATAACCGAGTTTCTCAAATAATCAAAAAAGCTAAACATCAATATACGAAAAAAACTCGTTCAATTATTCAGTAAGAATTTTTATTTACTTGAAAAATGATTTATTTCAAATCTTTCTTAGATTTTACAATCGTAAAATATTTCTAGAATAAGATTTCGAAATTATTATTCTACTTCTCTCCTATTTTGATAGATGACAGATACGAGATCGATTTTATTTCTAAAATAAAAAAATTAGACAAAAAGTGTATATGCTTATCATACAGTTCCTTCTCAACGTATTATATAAATGATCACAAAAATAGAGATAGAGACATTCCGTATACTCATACTACAGCCAAGAAGAATTACCTTGCTTTTCTTCGAGATTTACTCTATAGCGCTAAATATTTCACCCAAAGAACATTTGCTTTCATACTGTACAACTTTTCACTAGACTAATTGAAAATTTATGGAATGACTTCATCAAATAGATTTAGAGAATTCTAAACCATATGAGGCATAATAAACAAGACTACACCTTGTACTTTTGACAGAGAAAATCTCAACCGTAATAGATCTATTGTTGCATTTGAAAACTATATTTTGATATTGATGTGATCTCCAAGATAAAAAATATTATTATTCTATATACAAAATTTTATTACAATTTTTATTTCAATTATTCCAATGTTTATTGGAAAGAACATTTTGCTTTTAAAATTTAAGGTTAATCCGATCAGAATTAGCTATTATGATAGGAGGCATCAATAGAATTTGTTTAGTATGAAATTTTGAGATAGTTTTATTGTTTTTATCTAAAAAGCTAACTGTGAAGAAAATTTATTCTTCATATAAATTCAAAAATGAGAACAATAAACAGATCTCATATTTTCCTAATGAAAAATTCTATATGTATCTCCATCTCAAATTTTAAAATAAAAGTTCAAGATATTATTTTTCATAATGATTTTTTATTATGAAAATCAAACTCTACTGTCAAGATTGAATATTTCACAATAATAAACAAAATTCTTAGATGAAAAAACTTTTTTAATCAAATTGTGTTTATTCATAGCTATGAAGAATCATTGTTGGATGAAGTTGGTCTCAATCGATTAGGTATTTGTCCATCATCACTTCTTGTCGATGAAAAACAATTATGTGAAATAATTCTTCAATGTCCAATCATGTTCAATTTATCAATATGGCTACAATGGTCAAATTATTTTCAATTCAAATATGGCACACTCAAAATGTTCATTGCACGAAAAGAAGAAGAACTTGATCGTCTTCTTTTACTTGAAACTTCAAATCATGAACTTTTACGTCTTCCAATTGATTCATCTTTTGACTCATTTGAAAAAGAACTTTATTCAGGAAATATTCGTGTCAGTGTTGGTCATTTATGTGCATTAATTATTTGTGAATATGTTAAAGTTAATCAATTACCAATGATTATTTATAGGCAAGTTATCAGTACTTGGTTAATTCGTCTTCGATCATCCGCTGAATTAAATGAAAATAGTATCGAACCGATGAGATACGTTCTGGAATTTTTGACATATTTACCAATACTTATTGGTCAATCAAGAATTGTTCAAGAACTTTTGTTGGAACCCATTGATGAAGTCTTTGGAAATAATGAAGATAATCAAGTATTTAATACTCGACAAAGAATATGGACATTAGCCAATCCTAAACAAAAGAGTAAATTAGAAGTCTGGGGTCATCTCTTGGATATTGATGAGTGGATAAATGAAAATAAATGGAAAGGAATCAATGAAACACAAGAAGAGCCTATTATTCAATCTGCATATGAACATTTCAGGCAACCAGATAGACCAAATCAACGGTCAGGTAAATATGCATGATATTCCTTATGTTTCATAGAGGAGAGGATGCTAATACAGTCGTCAGATAGACAATCGTAAAGCAATGACTTACTTTCGTCTTTTACTATAACGTGAATTATTCGAAAGTAAACTCTATCTCTCAGCGCACAATATTTCGTTTTCATTTAAAGTATAAATAAATATTGATCAGGCAATTGTGCCAGGTAAAATTCTAAGATAACTCGACCTATTTTTTCCTACTTGATGAACATCATTTTTCTGTGACTACGATTCAAAAAAAACACCCAGTTCAGCTGTACAGTGTAGAAATAGGGATCTTTTCTATTTAAAGAAATTCTTTTACCAATAAATGATCAAGTATCAACATCAACTGTCACCTTCCCATCAACTCCACCAATCAGTGAAGCTCGTATTCCAATAATTAATGATAATAATCGAGATCTTGCAGCATTTGAACATATAAAACAAATCCGTGAAAGACTTGGTGTTGATAATAATCTTGATACAGCTGGAAAATCAATAGTTAATAATCTTCAAGGATTGATTAAACGAAGTTTAGAGAAATTATCCAATGATCTTTATTCTGAACAAGGTCATTATGTTTTGGAACTTATTCAAAATGCTGATGATAATCAATATTCATCGGATTGTTTACCAACATTACGTTTTGTTATTTCATCAGATCGAATTCTTGTTTGTAATAATGAAATTGGTTTTCAACCAAATCATATTGAAGCTATTTGTAATGTTGGAGAATCGACGAAAGGAAAACATAAACAAGGTTATGCTGGACACAAAGGTAAGTTTATTATATTTTACTCGAGAAAGAAAATTTTCACTTAGTCCTATGGATAAGAAATACATTGATGAAACCTAGAAGCGATTTACAAAATCTTATATGAATTCAATTCATTGATTTTCTTTGAAGCTGAACAGATGATTTCTGGAAATAGAAAAAATATTGAAGTATAAAATAATAAATTGAATAGATCATTCTCGGGTCGAACAATACGGTCCGTATACGGGGCCGTATCGTTCGACCTGGGTTTTACTAAATTCATCTGTCTTCTTCAAAAATCTATACAAAACTTTTTATTAACACTCATCAAAGACAGCGCGAAGAGGTCAGTAGGAGGAGGAAATTGATCTGAAAAACGAAGAAAGAGCAAAAGAAATGTTTTGTTGTCTATACGTTTTTTCCGCAGTAGACAAAAAGTTACAATAAAAGAAATCCGACTCTTTTTTTATTTTATTCTTTGTTCAGTTTTTGATATAACTATTTTTGTACGTGCAATAACATTAGAAAAATGTAATTACAGAAGCTAATCTTGTACAATCATTAGTGTGCTTCTAGTTTTTGGAGAAACGAGAAAATAGGTACATTGGTCTTTGGCGTCCAAGCACCTTCTGTGATACTAGCGACAGATATGTCTGGATCTGATAAGAATTATTTGATTTTTTCGAGCGTAACTTAGCCGCTCGTGCGAAAAAATTCTCAAGAATTGAAGAAAATTGCCTAATAAGTTTCCCAAATGTGCATAAAATTGACTCACCAAAATTGTCAATACCAGAAAAAGTTCAAGAAAAAACTTTCCACAGCAGGGAAGGGTGCCTCTCCTTCCCCTCTGTCACACTGCTCCTGCTTCTCATATAATAATAAATCTAACTCTGTTGAATTAAAAATATGTCTTAAAATGTTCGTTTTTTAATACAAAGGTTAACATATATTTTGAGCACCCGANTTTATATAAATCGATTAGTTCATTTTCATCTTCTTTTGAAAATTTCATTGAAAATTCCATTCATTATTTTGACAAAAATGAAAGGTTAAAAAGTGAAAAAACAGTGAAATTTCGTAATTATTCGTGTTTTTAAACTCGTAGGAAAGAAAAATGATATTGGTTTTATGTGTCAGCTGTGTAACTCGGAATACGGAACAAACTTAATAATATTTCAAGATCACACTCTCTATAACAAATTTTTTTTTCTGAATCTTACTGATTTCGAACCTTCCCCAACGAAGGGGACCGATGGCTGGCCGTGCCGCATGACTTACCTAATTCGAGTTCGAATATAAATAAAGCATCAAATATCTAATATCATTTCGAAAATAAACGAAAAACAAATGAATTCGGCACTTGCTTATAGCAGAAAACAAAATTTTTAATTAATTATAATTTATAATTGATATAGGACAGTCATGGAGCTACGGGAGAGAAGTGGAAAAAAGTTTTTTTTAATAATAGGTTGTTACTTCCATAAGAATTTTAGTTTAATAGCTAACGTTTAGATTCTTATAGTAAATGATTGAAGAAATTAAAAGTGGATACTTGAATAGAGTCGATGCACAAGCAGATTTACTTAGATTACTGTTAGTTTATATAGAGTCTATGGTACTGTGGATGGAGGTGCTATGTGCTCCCTGATGAATTGGAAGTCATATTTATCTCTATGTATGGAATGATATAAATATTTCTTTAGTTTTTCTTGAGCTAAAATGAAAAGTTGTATAATGGAATATGTGAATTATGATTATTTGTTAAGTGAATACCAGAGAATGAATTCAATGATGACATTCAAATTTGAATTATTGGACTAAGCTTCTGATTAAGGTAAAAACTTAATAAGCAAATTTTCTACATAGTTTTGCAGTAAACATACAATGATAAGTGTATTTTCTTTCGTATTAAAACGATTTCTCGTATTGAAGATGACAGTTAATGTTGTTGGATATGTATTTCACATGAGTATGGAGAATTTTTAGAACAACGAGTAAATATGGAAGTAGTTATTGTGGAAAATTGAGTTATGCATTAAATAGAACTCAAATTATCATCTACAATAATTATCGTTTTTCATTTAGAAAAGTTTTTCTATTGAGCTTCTTTATCAATGTGATTGGATGATTGGGTACATATTTCTTAGGATTCTATGTTACTTGAAGGTAGCATATAAATTTCCATAGGTTGGGATTTGAATTCTGCAAAAATTCATTGAACAATAGACCAAAATCATGAAGACGAGACGTGTCGTACATGACTGTATACACTTGAACACATATTATGGTCAAAGAAATTGTATGAAAGCAATAGAAAATATATACTTAGTGTAACCGAAATTCAATCATGAGAGTATTTAACTAATCTAGAAGCCGTTTGCCCACATAACTCACCTTTTATATGAGCGTCGCGGTGTCGAAGCTCATAGCATCGCCCGAAGAGTCGCGACCCATGCTTGTCTTTGTGTACATGAGGGCATTGATTTGATTCATTAAGAACAATTGTAATTAACTAGCTCAACAATTGATTTCTTGAAGTTCACTTCAGTAATTGGACTAAAGTTGAATTTATCACAGTATTGTCAGGCGAGCATGAGGAGCCGAGGAGATGCAGATACAGAAAGCACCTGCATGATCTGCACGGCCTAAGTAAGAGTGAGCAAAGGAAACACATAAAGAGGGCATCGCATTAGCTGAGGATGATGGCGAAAGCACAGTGATAGCATGCTTCTGAGTGAAGATGAGGGCGAAATATATACACAAGTCATCGCTCTGAATATGAGTGACGGCAGAAATACATATATAGGAGATGGCATTAGCTGAGAGTGGGACGAAAATACTAATACACACATGGCAGCAAGTGAGAGCTATGGCGAAAACACATCGAGAACATACATCTGAGCAAGGGAGAAAGCTATACTTCTGTGCTTCGTACATTTCTTCGGAATGCTCTATATGTCTTCATAGATGTTTGTACTTCTTCGTGCTTATGGGTACTTCTGGATACCTCTGTACTTCGTCGTGGTTCACAATTACAGAAGTATGCCTTTTCGTCCTTGTATTAACATGTATTCGTCCAATTTGGATGACAAAGTAGCAACAGAAGAGACCTTATTATAGCGAACAAAATGCATCTACATCATGTCTCTATTTACACGACAAAAGGCATCGAGGTCATTCGGGGTAACAAACAAAATCGGATATAAATCTATTGATATCATTTTAGATATCAGCAGTTGTCATATTAAAAAAAGGAATAGAAAAACAATGATTGAAAAAACTTCAATAGCCTTTATTCAAAAATAAAGAAAATAATTTCTCACCAAATACCCAAACAACGAAAAAAAAAAGGATACTCGAAATACCTATTAGCTAATTATGAATTACTAAACACTAACTGTCATAGTTTCCGACTTTGTTATAAATTAAAATGCACCAAACTCTATTCAGTCAGATAAGACATCGCCAAAACAAAAGTATATTACGAAAAATATGAAAAAAAAAGAGATTTCACAACAATCATTTTGTTCACAAACAAAAATTTTTCACAAATCTTACACAGTCCTATTAATAAAATAAATTATAATTTACAAGAACTTTTTTCTACTATTTCTGCCGTAGCTATAGGACTGTCCTATCTCAGTTATAAATTATAATTTATAAAAATTTTTTTTCCATATCGCCTAGCCTTTGCATCAACAATCGACACATCATTGAATGAGTCTCTAGACTTACTGATTTTTCGATCATTGCCCTTTTATTTTTAGAATGCAATAATAATTCAATGTACAACAAAACATATATTGTCAAATGTGCATTAGGATTTCAACTTACAAAAGATAATGATGATACTCAAGATGATAGTTTTGCTCGTCTCATGGTTTTACATGTCTTTGGTTTGGATATACGTGATGTTGCTGAAGTACTACAACAACAGAATGAAATTTGTTTTACTGATACACGTATTAATAAATCATTAATTATAACACTTTTACGCATTGGCCAAGAAAATACAAATGAAAATGATCAACATATCACCACAACAGCCGAATGGACAATCGACTGCGATATGGCAGCCATTTATGCATTACAAACATTTAATTTGGCCTTGGTCGATTTAAAAAGATATTTTTTTTATGAAGAAGATTTATTGGAAGTTATAGAAAATGATATTAATGAAAATGAACGATTTATATTACTTGCTAGTTTGTCGAATACAATAGATGATCCAACATTTTCAAATGAAAAGGTATGGAAACATGCTGAACGTACTGAAGGAGCAATTGATGCTCTCAAAAAGTCCCATGATGATGCTGACCGCTGGGAAGTTTCAGATGCTTATAGATTGAAAAATAATAATAACATTTATTGGACTGCTCGTGAATTTACATCTGCTACATATCAATTATATAAATTATCAAATGATAAAGAATTAGATGAACATGCATATACAGTATTTTTATTACTTATGGTAATTCTTTTATTTTCTAATAGTTTTCAAATTCAATTGATGATAATAATAAAAAATTCAATGAAAAATTACATAAAATTCAACAAAATTATATTAATATAACATGTCAATTTTTACATGAACATTGTGATTTTTCAATTGGACGAAGAATGTTTGATAAACTTGTTCTATTATTTATTGGTAAATATTATTATTTGAAAAGGATAAAAAAATTTAAGTATAAAAGAAAAATAATCCTTTCTTTTTGACTATAAATTTAGAAATGTTTGCTTTAATAAGTTAGAATCTGATAGATCATGTTTCCCACTACTATGAGAGAGATATCGACCGACAGAACATTTTCTAACTATGCAATAGTATCAGGCTCTTGCATAAAGTAGTGTACATTTTCGTTGCTAACTTCAGTTAACTCATTGAGTACCAGCATACTTTGTAATGTATAGTTGTTTCAAATTTCTTAATTTTTGAATAAATTGCGAACACAAAACCATATCGAAATGTGGTTTTCTTCATAACATGGATAGGGCTTCGTTGTACAGCACATATCTATATAAGAATTCTAATTCTAATGAGGTCATCTAGCTAATAAGTTTGATCGATTTTTGAAACACCACACCTGTTCTGAAAGAAACTAAGGACGGTTAATATCCATTTATGATGTCTAAAGTATTTTCGTTTTTCGTGTTGGAACCAAGTTAGGAATGACTTCTAGTGATATTCCAAAGTTTAATTGTGTGACAACTGTTAATAGAATTTTAACTCACATAAGTATTCTCTCAAGGGAATGAACACAATAATTCTTTGTTATCCTCATGGGAAAGTATGGACAGAAGTCGAAAATGACTTTAAAGTTTGTTTTTTTTTAACAAGTTTTGATGAAAATTTTTGCAATACACACTGATCATATTAAATACAAAATTTTAATGAAATTTTGTCCACTGGTTGATCAATGGTGTTAGTAGGGTTAAAATCTAAAATAGATAGCAAACCTTTCGTCGATGTCGTTAGGTTTCTCGATGAAGAATAGGTCTAGCTATTCCACTTTTCACACGGTGTCTGCGAAAATGTTAAATACCTATTCAAAGATTATCTACAATATTGTGACTGTCTGTCAAATTTTGGCTCCTTGCATTACTAAAAATCATTGAGAAGTTTGGCTGTTATCACATTCAATCCTGTCGATTCTAAAAGATTTTTAGAGTTTTGATATGTGCATCATGATCAGACATTTAGTTTCGAGTATGACTCTCTGATCTCAAGATATTATGCATATAAATTCATTTATATAACTCATAAAATACCGAGAAAAGATAAACTTGACCTGGCTTCCCATTCCGCCTCTTTTTCCTCTTTTTTTTTGGGAAAAATTAGGTGTTAAAGGAAAATAATCGATAATGTTGACTTATTTAGGTGCATCAATATGTTTTTAATCAATAAGATCAATAACAAGGTTGAAAATTGATCTTGAGTACGCATTGACAAAGCCCAATAGATACTAATTCCAATCCGAAACATTTTTTAGTAAATTATTTTGGCTTGGTATTTTTTATCGAATTAGCTAAAATCAATAGTTATTGAAGTCGAAATTTAGAAATACTAAAATAAATTGTGGTAGACTTATGTACATGCAAATATAAAAGTTTGAAAATTAGATGCTTGAGCAAAACAACAAGGTAGCTTCGAGTATGAACTTAAACACGATTTTCGATAACTGAAATTCAAGAATCCCGACTGTAGAACTGCGGAATCTGTCGTTAAAGTGATCAAATCTGCTCGGATGGAGAAATCATTTCCAAGATGTAGCCGGTTAACAAAGCAACAAAACACGATTTTTCCGGATAAGACTTCGAAAATTTTTCCAGAAAAAAAGTTCTCCAAATGCTCGTTTGTATCCAGCAGTAGGTTCTGCATCTCTGATCGTCTTGAAGATGAATTAGTGGTAACCTCTAACAAATTTTGTAAAAATTCGTCCCATCATGTATCTTTAAAGAGATTCATTTTTCCTATTCTTAGAGGAATTTTATGAAAAATCATGAAAACTGAATCGTAGTGTACTTAAGATTCAAATTTTTATTGTATATTATTCAATTTCAATTGAATTTCGAGTTATATTAAGTCTTTATAATTGATCAGATTTAGTATTGTTCTGTTCTCAGGAAGAGTTTCCTATAATGCGGTAGAAATTCTTGTCACAAATTTGAGAAAGAAACCTTAAAGGCTTTGTTTTGATATGAATTTGTAGTATTTTATTGTCTTATAAATATGTACACCATACTACGTCTTTTTTTTTTTGTTCATGTTAGCTCTCGAATACTCTCGTGCTTTTATAAACTGAACGTATTCTGAATATTCAATGATTTTCTTTTTAATTTCTTTTTCTTTGTCTACAAATATTCAGGTAAAATAATATCACAGTCAAGTACTTTTGAAGTAGACCCTATTCTTTTTGTCTGTTTTCTGTAGTTCTCTTTTTCAGAGCTCGGTAAAAAAAACACGACTGCTGCAAATGTCAACAAATGAATATCGCTTTCATCTTTCGAGTTTTTCGAGTCTGTATTTAATCCAGATTAATTGTGCTCTAATTTATTGACTTTTAAATTCTCGGATAGGCTTTGCTCGCATTTCAGATGCGAAAAATGCGCCTCTTTTTTTCCTCTTTTCTACGAACTGTCGGTGGGATGCCAGACTTGATTTATCTTTTTGAAAATATTGAAAATTTTTTCATATTTTTATTAATAATAGATCTTCGAAAACTTTGTTCAACATTAGCCAATGTTAATCTATGTGAAATGGTTGAAGATGAAGATCGATCAGATTCATCACAAACAACAACAACAACTTATAATCCTAATCAACAATCTGCTAAACCATTGCCTATATCTGCTTTATCAGAATTTAATTCAATAATGATTAATGGTACATCTCATTTAAATGAATTACAAAAAGAAAATCGAGAACCATCATTATATAATTCATCATCATTATCATCAATTGTTCGATTATCCTCATCTATTCTTTCAAATACAACATCAACACTTGAAAATTACCAAAAATAAACATTTTATATGTGATCAATTCTTCTATCATTTATTTGGCTTTTCTCTTATTTATTAGTCATAACATATCAAATCGCATGTTGACTAATCTTTCTTTCTTTCCTTTTTTTTGTTTGTTTGTTTTATTTCTTGTATCCATTTGTCATACATCTCAACACATGAATATGTACACATATCATATATAGAATAAAAATCGTGGCTATTTACATGATACGTTCCTTATTTTAATTTTATTGATATTGGCCTTGTGTACATAATCTCTAATTTATATCTTTAATCAAATATTACTCAATCATTAAATTAAATTGATTTGCTTGGTTTATGATAGAAGAGTTCATTACCCTAATAAACATGGCTGAAAAGTAATCTATTCGAAATATTCCTTTCATCCGAATACATGAATTCCAAACAACTTCTATATATACATCTTGATTACGTTATTTTTAATAGTTCTATGTAGCTTGCTGTATTCATGTAAAACATCGAAAGTTTATTATTTTGATACAGCTAGATAGAGCATCGACTGCTTTATCGAACCATATGGTTTACATTTTATCTCTTTTGGTTCTAGTCCAAAAAATTGATAAATCTCAAAAGCAGTCAAAAAAAATTTTTTTAAGGAAGCAAGTTTCAAATGATGGCTAGGAGTAGAATAAATGACTGCGTTTTATGATTTATTTGTGCTTGTTTTATTAAAAACAAAATATACTAGAATATGCAGC